AATCACCATAAATAAATTAAAGGGTTAATAACTATTAACAAATATCAATTTATTCTATTTATTTATGAATTTGTACATATAAATTTTTTCAATTAAGAAAATTATACAAATATATTATTTTTTATATGTGATTTGAAAAGGGTATATAAAGATAAAAGTGATAAATTTTTATAATTAAAACAATTAAAATATACGAATTCATAAATAAAGCGAGTAAAATGGATATTTACTAAGAGCTTAGTGTAAGTAAGAGTGCTGCTATTAGCATCCCATGAATTATTTTGAACCCCCCAATTTTTAATTTTTTTTATTTATTACAATAATAATCTCAAAAAAAATTAGGACATTATTAATATTGGGACAACTCATTCACAATTAAACCTACACACCCACTACATGATGAATTAGGGTTTATGAGAGCACCTACTTATATTATATCACCACACATTCAACTTCCCCAAATCCCATCTTCAAAACTTACCTACCTTCAAAACCTTGAAAACTCTTTGGTGGCAATATTCTGACGGTAACGGTGACAACCATTTGATTACCTAAACTTCTCCAGCAATAACAATGAGCGGAAGTTTTTCTAGCAACCACAACTCTATAAAACGAGAGGAGTACAACAATAAAAACTTAAAGGAGGTTCATAACTTTGATGTTGTTATTAGCTCAGAAGAGGTTGATCTTGTAAGGGTAAGCTTCTTTAAAAAAATGACAGAAATATTAAAATCTGTTCGTTATTTTTTTCAGGACTGAACTCCCGAACATATGATCAAAATTCAAGAACACAGGACCGAACAATGTTTATTTGTTCGAGAACCGGTAACTGAACATTTATTATTCGGATCTCCCAGAAGTTTTAATTTTTCCAAGTTCGGGAATACAGGACCGAACATTACTGATTTGTTCGGGAATACATTCCCAAACATAGTTTATTTGTTCAGGAATATAGGTCCGAACATGGAAATTTGTTAACAATTTGAATTGTTAAAATTCTTAAAACTTCCTAAGTACTAATCACAAAATAGCAGCAGTAAGCATGAGAGAGAGAGAAAGGAAGAGGTAGAAAACCACGCCAGAGATCTATCTTTCTGGCCATAATCGGCTGAGAGAAAGAGACATAGCATACCAGAGTCACACAGTGTAATAACCCTCACCACTGATTACCGTTAAACATTGATTACTGATAATTGAACTGATTATAAGTACTGAACTGACTGACTGAAATTGAAAAAAACGAATTGACTGAGTACATGTTAGTTAATTGCATTTTATCTGTTGACAGTATAATTATCTGTTAATGTTCATATGTTTAAACTGCTAATTGAAGGCCTTATCGGCGGCCGAATCCGAAGCCGATTAGTGTTCTATGATCCTTAGAATTAATGTGATTTTATAGTATAATTATCTGAAAATTGATTAAATTAGATTAAATATTGATTAATCGCATAGTTTGGCTTAATTACTGTTCCGCCACTTAGTGGCCACCACATCACACCTCTTGAGCCTTTTACACTCCACGTATGTGATCAAACCAAACATTTCTTCTTCTCTTCTTGCCTCAACCGACCTTAGAGAGAGAGAGACTTGAGGAGTTGGTTTTCATCTTGAATTGTTTGGATCTTGCTTGGAATTGGAGTGTTGATTGCTACTTTGAACTCCTAGACCTTGAACACAAGACTAAGGTAGGACATTCATCTTCTTGTTGTTGTCTTAGAATCCATTCTTGCACAATTCATGCTTTAATTGTAGAGTTAAGCCATGTTTTGGTGCATACATGTTGAATTGAAGCTCATTTCATGCTTGCATGTGTTCTTGGTTGAGTTTTGAGTTGTTTTCATGGCATGCATGTCCATGTTTTAAGAGTAGTCCATGTTTTCATCATGTTTTGGAATCAATTGGCTCACTAGAGCATGTTTTGAAGCTTCAAAATGATTTGAATTCATGCATGTTTGCATGTTCTTCATATTCTTGAAAAGTGGTTTGAAATTGAGTTTGAATTAAACACCCTTGGGCCTTGATTTCTCAAATCGAGCTTTGAACCATGTTATTCTATGTGTTTATAAATGTTTTCCAGAAAATGGGCCCAAGAGGATCGGTTTTAATGCTTTTGAACTTGGTTTTTGGCTTGGAGGTGCAATCTGGAATTTCCAGATTCTGCACTTCCGCTCGAGCGGAGGAAGTGCCGCTCGAGCGTATAATTTGAGCATCCAGTATCTCTGCACTGTTTTACAGTCCGCTCGAGCGGAGTATCGGGCGCTCGAGCGGAGTCAGGTCTCACGCTCGAGCGGGCATCGGGTGGAGATTTCACCCGTCCAGTACTTTTACAGTACGCTCGAGCGGGAAAGTTTACGCTCGAGCTCGTACCTTTATTGCATGACCGCTCGAGCGTGGAAACCTGAGCTCGAGCGGGACTCTGTTTTTCTGAAAATGCTTTTAAATGTACATCTTTGCATCCTCATCCCATTCTAGGCATTCTTAGGCCTAGTTTAAGGCATCTTGTTGAGGATATAGATGTAGAACACACCAAGGCAAATTAGGGATTAAGTTGTTATATTTCCCAACTACGTAGCTTAGTGTGTTCAATCTGTTAACTGTATAGGGTTGGCGACTGGGGAGACGCGCTCTAGCCTACTGTAGCCCAAACTCCGTGAGTAACAATTGTGTAAAGATATGTTCAAATGATTATCTTCTGAATATTGAACTGAACTGTTTTCTGAACTGATATTGTTTACTGAATGAATGTATGTTCTATCTTCTGAACTGTATTGTGGCATCCTTAGCACCTACTGTTTACTGTTACTGTTACAGAGATCTCTGTCGGTTCCCTTGTTGGAACCACTATTGTCTACTGACTGATGGCCATCATTACTGTTCGGTCTTCTAGACCTACTGTTTACTGTTATGCTAACGGATGTACCACATATGACTGTTTACTGTGCTGAATAACTGAATGACTGATTGAAATGAACTGTTTTCATACTGTAAGGACATTCATTCTCAACCTCTTTACTCATTATGTTATTCACTGGGCTTTAGCTCACTGCTCATATATATATGTAGGTGTTCAGGCACCAGACCGCAGCTAGGAGCGTTAGGGTTACTCCAGTTTTGTCAAGCCAGCCTATGTGCCTCACTGCGAGGTTCCGAGCCTATCGTGTTAAGGCTTAGGGGTGTTTTACAATTCCCCCTTCTGTACTGTTTCACTGTTTTGTATAGACTGAATGTTTACCGTACAGATTGCATTAGATTGGTTCCACAAACTATTAAAGGGAAGCGTGAAGACCTAGGAAGGCCTGGCCGAGATGTTTGTGGCCAGGTTCGTGACAAACAAGATTATGCATACTGTTCTGTACTGGTTATGTATAAATGTATGAAAAATCTTTTTGGCATACAGACTGTCACAGCTCAATGGACATTATTTATTTACTGTATTGGCTTCCGCCAGGCCCTGTACTCTGTTTTACTGTACTACTGTTCTGCAGGCCTTCGGTAATCTCGGATTACTGGCCGGTTACGGTGCTAAACCCATAGGGCCGGGTTTGGGTCGTGACACACAGTTACACTTCTTCTTGTTTTTCTTGTTCGTGGGCTTGAAAATGATGAGGTTTTGTTAAGGTTTTTTTGGAATAGATTTTTTTTTTTTTTGGAGTGTCGGGGTGTGTATTTAATTGGATGGAATGCTTAAGGATAATTTTGGTATTATTTTGGGGGTTCCAAAGAAATTTTTAATGTTTCAAAAATTACAAATAAGGGTCTAAATTAATTCTTGGGGTGCTAATAGTACCACTCGTAGGTAACTCTAAATAAAATAAAGAAAAGACAACTCTTATTCTTAAGTAAGAATAATATTAGAGATCTCAAATATTTTATTAAATATCTCACATAAACATAAAATTCACATAAGACTCACATAATATAAATTTTACACATAATGTGAGATATTTGATAAAACATTTATAACCTAATATTTTTCTTCAAGCAAACGTTGACCTGGCGCCAAGTCGGCTCACCAAAATCTTTGCCTCCACGTGTCAAAATATTGGCCATGTAAAGAGTTAATGAAACCGTATGCCATACTGGCCCACCAAAATATTTTCCTCCCCGGTGTCAAAATAATGGCCGTGGAAAGATTTCAAAAACAAATGAATATGCCATATCATAGTAAATATCTGTTTTCTTTTGTCCACCCAAAAAAATCTGTTTTCTTTAAAAATATAAAAAAGCTTAAAATAAAAATTGGTTCTCATTATGCATCTGTCATTAAATTATGATAGAATTTTAAAATAGAAAAATTTAAGTCATAATTTAAGTGTTGTGAGTGTTTTAAAATAAGAAGGTAAAAAATATAAAATAATTTTTTAAACTCAAAATGTGTGGACGAAACATAAATTTTGATTGATTTGAAATAAAAAAAAAATTATAATTTTATATAAAAATTAATACACATGTGTCCCATAGTTTCAAATCAATTGGTTTTGTATTTTGAACAAATTTAGGTCAAGTTTGGCATAACCTAAATAATACAAAAAGTCACTATCATATTTAAGTCACATCATCTTATTTAAATCACATCACCATAAGTTAAAATGAGACTTTTTACTTAAAATAGTTATAAAAAAATAAAAATAATTTTTTTAATTTAATAAGATAAAATGTTACATCCAAATCATAATTATTTAATTTTTTTCTCATAAAAATTTTAAAAAAAAATCTATCTCAAATAAGATTTTTTAACTCCAAATCAAAAAAATTAAAAAGTCAAAAAAACTAAATTCATCATTTTCCTAACGACAATGCTACGTAGCTCAAATTTTGTGGCTCAAAAGTGGCTCAAATGGCCAAAACGACGTCGTTTTGAGTACAGAACAACATAAAAATGGCCAAAACGACGTCGTTTTGATCATTTGAACCACTTTTAAGTCACAAAATTTGAGTTACGAAACATTTTCCTTTTCCTAAACATGTACAGCTTGAAATATCTGTCCTTTACCCTGAGGTTACATCTTTTCTTTTAAGTAAGGTTACTTCATCCCCCAAAACCACCAAAAACAATAAACCAAACACCCACTACCACAAGTCCACCCCTGGAAAAGAAAGTTGAAAAACATTCAAACCACTTGGGAGCACAAAGAAGATTCAAAGAGAGCACAGGGAAAAGAAATCCTACAACACCATTGATAAGGTCATCATACAAACAAAGAACAAGCTCAAGAGCAAAAGAACTCAAAGATCAGAAGAAGAAAAAAGAACTGATCAAAAAGAACACAAAAACAAGAAAATCTTTTGGAAATCGCATGTCGTCTGAGAATATTGATGGGTGAGTTTCTTCATGCTTTATCTTTATTTTAGTACTAAAAAGACATGTATAACTAGGATTTGTAGTGCAGAATTGAAAGCACTTTGAAAAAGCTCAAAACACAAGCTTGGTATCTATTTTCGGATAGTTCTTACAGATGATATAAAGTAGAAACCAAAGCATCCCTCCCCGTTTTTGGATAATTATTATTTTTTTATAAATTATTTAAGCTATTTCTTTCTCATACGGTATAAGCAGAAACTGTACTAAAGAAATTGTACTAAACGCTCATGACATAAATTTTCAAAAAAAAAAAAAAAGTGTAAGCAGCTCAATAAGTTGACCGAACAAGGCCATAATCAGAGTCTTTTATAACCCATGGATGGTTTTGAGAACAGGAGATTGAGAAAGAGGCAAAATGGTTCAGACTCCCTAGAGGAGAGACTGCTCATGTGGAAGAACTATCACAGCCAAATCCAAATTGATTCCACCAAGGAAATCGGACTCAACCGGAGAAGAAAGGGTCCTTCCAAGGGATTGAAAAGGGGTTGTATGCAAGGGAAAGGTGGGACAGAGAATCCGGGCTGCATGTATAGAGGAGTTAGGCAGAGAACTTGGGGGAAATGGGTTGCAGAGATTCGTGAACCCATTTATGATAGCTGTCAACTGAGGAAGAAGGCGAATCGACTCTGGCTTGGGACTTTTTCTGCATCTGTTGATGCTGCTCATGCTTATGATGAGGCTGCAATGGCTATGTATGGCTCTGCTGCTATACTCAATTTTCCCAACTACCATAAAATGCCGTTGGACTTTTGTAATGATCAATTGTATCTGATTACAGAGGAACCAAAGGTTAGTCAGAGTGAGCATTTCAATAGCATTGAAGTAGTGTCACCGACAAAAAGTGAAGTAGAGAAAGAAAAAATTGCAGAAGCTAACTATTCATGTAGTGTTAGTGACTACAATCACAAAGATGATGGCTTGAAAGACTTGAAAGAATTGAAAAAAGAAACAGAAACAACAAACCAACCTTTTGGGGATATTAGCAGTGATGACTTTGTGTTCAGACAAGATCAATTTGGCTCTTTTGATGAGCCTTTGGGGTACCAAGGTCAACTTGATTCCTTGGAGACCTTGTTAATGGAAGATGAAATTGAGATTCAGTCTCCTGGGCCAACTGACACGGATAACAATGAGTTATTGAGTGATGGTCATTTCCTGAATCGAACACAATCCAATCTTTATCACCTTTTGGAGAAGGCAGAGCAAAGCGAATACATGGGTAATTTACAGCTTCAAAAGTATGAAACACAAAATTACGAGTATAATTATGATACGATAACAGAAGAAATGTTTGATTTCAAGCCTTCCGGAACTTCTGTTACTCATAACCCTGGATTACAGCAAGAGGGAAACTATGATACCGGTTAATATGGGTTTTCTAGTAAGAACCTGTCACAATGGGAAAGGCCTCACGGTGTCGTGTGTGAGTTGTGTGTGAGTTGCATAAAGCGGACACCAAGCTGCCGGGAAATTCAGAGGGTACAGAAAACTACGTACACTAGAACCTCATCATGTAGCAAAGTCGAAAAGCTGCACATTTTCATTTGTGTTCATGAAGTAAGAGAATTTCAGTCTAAGGTTTTTCCATTTGTAAATTATGGTTTTATCAATGTAAGTTTCCAATTTTGGTTGGCTGTATCTCTTTACTTGCTGAGAAGATCAGATGTACAAAAAATAACAGGAGCTAGAATATGTGAACTTTTGAATTCCAATCAAATTATGCTTTAATCTGATTGTATAAACAAGACTATGAATCATATCAACAAATATGTTTACATTAGGCATGCAGTTACAACTCCAGAATCCACACCATTCATTCATAATGCAATCCAAATTGTATCCTCCACTTGTATCTAAATAGAGCTCCAGCAAGTCTACAACCCTGTGGCAGTTCTACTGAATGAGAAGTCTGGAAAGCGAAACATCTTGCCTCTGTAACCGTTACATCCCCTGTTGTCTTCATGGAATATTTCATTGTCTGTATGTTTTCCACACTAGTAATAACTAATTTGCTGCCAACTGAAAGCCATTCTCACCAGTAAAATTTACTGGCTCCAAGAAAGAATTTGGCCAGAGAAATTGCATCCCAAAATAAACTTCTGTCTCTGGTGTTGATGTATGTCAGTGGTGTGATCTGAATAGTATATGGACTGTTTGTTGTGGCATGGCCCGCGAATTGATTGAATTCATCATTATGCACGGGGGGAAAATATGGAACTTGGAACTTATGCACGAGCTCAGGCATTTTCCTGCTCTATCTCAGACCAAACCAATTTCCAAGGTCCGCTTTTCGTTCCTAATCTGGGATTCGGAAAAGATAAACAGAAGAAACACTTTTGCCATTTAGTAAGGTCAGATGCATTATGTTAAAAGCATCCAGGTTTAGGGCTAAATTTTCAACCCAAAAACTAAACCAATCAACTTAGACATTCAGACATGAAAAACTAAAGAAAAATCATTAGCTGAGGGAAAACCAATCCTTTTTTTAGGGCCATATCACATCTAAATGTGGGTGATCATCACAAAGGCCTAGCCCTATATGTTCTTAGAGCCCTATTGCACCATCAAATGAGCTAACAATCCAATGATATGATCCTTTTTAATTTAAAAAGAATGAAAATAGAGAGAGATATGAAAACATGGAAGTCCTATAAGACGTCGGGAAAGAACCAGCGCCGAGAAAGAGCGAAGAGGCGCTAAATGGAAAATCCATCGTACCAGGGAGGGCGACGAAGAAACATATTTTTTCTCTTTCTCGGCTTCAGGCTTAAGCTAGAGAAGAAGAAAAAGAAGCTAGAAGATTTTTTAAGGGCAAACATAGAGGCATTCGGCCTGGCACACCCTAATGAAATGCCTGGCATTGACCCCCGAGGTCAACTTGCCACAAGTCTGAATGTCGACAGATGTCGGCAAAGCAGTGGATTCAACGAGCCAGAAGGCCGACATTAAATTGCACGTCCGAAGTTAGTAGAGGAAGAAGGTAGACAGACTCCTTGAAGCCCAGGGCGCACGAGAAGTTCAGTACCTCAAGACATGGCTGTCCAACACAGTAGTAGTAAAAAAGAAGAAATGGGCAAGTGGAGAGGGTTTGTGTAGAGCTTTACCAGCAGCTCAACAAAGGCTGTTGCCCCTAAAAGACAGCTTTCCCACTGCCCAAAATCGACCAAGCTGGTAGAACGCCACTTCGGGACATGAAGGATGAGTTTTTAAGAATGCATAATAGAGGGTAAACCACCAAGATTGCTATGTACCCACCAGATGAGGAGAAGAGCGCGCATTCATCACCTCCGAAAGGCCTGTACTGTTACAAGGTAATCGGCCTTTTGGACTGAAAAAACGCCAGGAGCAACCATCAGAGGTTAAAGTGACAAAGAATGTTTAAACATCTAATTGGCAAACGGTAGAAGTTTAACATCGATGACATGGTTTACGATAAAAACCAAGAAATCAGAAGGTGCATCTTGCCGACACTAAAAGAGGTCTTTTGACATCTCAAAAGATATGCGGCTCCGACTCAACGCCATGTCGAAGTGTGCCTTCGGAGTTTTGGTATTCTAGGTAAATTTCTAGGATATCTGGTAACAAGAAAAGGCATTTGAGGCCAGCCCAGACCAAAATCAAGGCCAATCTCTGGAACTACAGAGTCGTCATCGGCAAAACAAGTTCAAGTGCCTCACTGGAAGGGCTCGCAGCCCTAAACGCGATGTCATACAGCAGAAGCTGCCGGACATAGGTGCAGACCCTTCTTTAACACTGGTGAATAAAAAGCCACCAGACTTCCTATGGACAAAAGAATGTGAAAGCCTGCCTTAGCCAGACCTTATAAAAAATACTTGACCACAATCCCCGTCCTTTTCTAATCCACAATTCCAGGGAGGAATTATTTTTAGTACTTAGACAGGTCTCTGAGCACGCAGTCAGTGCAGTGCTAATTGCCGTGAGGAAAAAGGGGAGGCAGAAGGCTTGTCGCTTTATGTAAGTAAGACTTTGGCTGAACGCAGAAACAAGATACCTCCGACTGGGAAAAATATAATGCTAGCCTTGGTAATGGCTATCAAAGAAATTAAGCCATTACTTTCAGCACACAAAATTGTGGTCCTAACAGAGCACCCGCTGAAAGTCCTATTACAATAAGGAGACTTTAACAGGAAGGATAAGCAAAATGGGCAGTAACACTAGGCCAGTTTGACCTAGAAATTTGGCCAAGAACAGCATTAAAGGGCCAAGTTTTGGCCGACTTCGTAGCAGAACTCAACAACCTGAAGCCATTCACAGCTCCGGGCTCCGTCGAGCCAAAGATGAGCATTATAGCCGACAGCAAAAAGAATCCAGTCAAAGACAAAAAGCAAAGAGAAGAAAAGCTCAATAAGTACCGTGCAGATCTACAATCGGCGATTCAATTCAGACTATTTCGTCGATGGAAGTTCAAACCGGCCAGGTGAGCAAGGAGCAGGAGTTACTGCTTGATATCTCCAGAGTGGAGAAGTTGTAGAACAAATCCATCCGTTTGGGGTTTCAAAGGCTCCAATAATGAAGGCAGAACATGAAGCATTAATTGCAGGGCATAAGGCTAGCAAGCAGCAGCAGAGGCTAGACGAGGTAAATTATTTTTTGTGATTCACAACTGATTGTTAACCAAGTCAACAGGAGAATATTTGTCAGCCAGAGACGAAAGAGAGTGCGGCATAAGTGCAAAGTGAGTCATCCGAACTGGCAGCTCCTATTCCAGAACTGCAGATTACTCCCAAGTTAGCCAAGATGAAACAAACCCACGCCGAACGCGTTAGCAACTTGGCCAGGCTCAAATTCAAACTGGAAAAAACAGACAAATATGATCGACTACATGTCGGCCCCGAGCATAGTAAACAGAAGCACCGCAACAAGAAGCAATGTGCGTGGCCTTTGAACAAAGCTGGATGGATTGCAATCATTGCACTTCAAAGATAGAAGCTGCCAGAGACCATAAAGAGCAGCATAATATTAAGGCTTGAAATCTAGCCAT